CACCTCCAGACCCCTCGTATAATAATACCACAAGCGTATCAGTGTGGGCCCCAGCGGGCAGAGCCATGGTAATTTAGTAATTGCAAAAATAATTATAAATTTAAAATATCAAGAATTCCACTGGTACATGTAGTACAAGTATTTTCATATGCAACAGGTAACTCCAAAGGACTACATGTCTTTCATTGAAGCGTTCTTGCCTGATATATTTGAATCATTATGTGATACAGTCAGTTCTGTTGGTCGGGCCAATAAACGGATCAAGAAATCTGTTGATAGAACACTTCAGTTTCTTGATGAGTCTTTGCAGATTAGAGAGGAAAATGAGGTCAGTCTAAATGTATACACTCATTCTCTCTCTCTTTCTTCATTTATGACATCTTGTAGTATTCAATTGTGTTTTTGTATCTATCATAGCATTTTGTTTATTAATGATTAAAAGTATAATTATTTTATGTCTTTTAATGTAGAAATTAAAGTCCATTCCGATATTAGGAGCCATTGAAGGCAGTGATGTAATGGAAGAGAGAATCAGATCAGCAAAGGAAACTGCTTTGAGACCAGTTGATGGTAATAATAATAAATTTAATTGCCCATTGACCTGCACAGTGATGTATCAAACTTTTAGTATCTTCTGTTGTCTTTTCTCAGGGTTTGTTATTGAAGGGTTTCAGTTGGATCATAACAAAGAGGCAATGGGAAATACTATTAGTACAGTCACTGGTTTACTGCCGAGTGAAAAGATAAGATTTATCAACGGACTCTATAGACCAAGTAAAGGAACTTTCTGTTGCTACGTCTGCCATTTTATTACATTTTCTGATACATATTGATGTACTTATGCTGTGTAGAAAGTTTGAGGTGATTCTGACTTCAATTTTTCAAGCTATAGCCATTTTAAGAAAATGCCAAAATTCTGAAAAGTACCCAAGGCTTTAGCCCATGGTTTTTCCAAAAAATGGCTCCGAAATCACCCCAATTTTTTATTACATTTTCTGATACATATCGATGTCCTTATGCTGTGTAGAAAGTTTGAGGTGATTCCGACTTTAATTTTTCAAGTTACGGCCATTTTAAGAAAATGCCAAAATTCTGAAAAGTACCCAAGGCTATAGCCCATGGTTTTTTCCAAAAAATGGCTCCGAAATCACCCTAAATTTTTATTACATTTTCTGATACATATTGATGCCCTTATGCTGTGTAGAAAGTTTGAGGTGATTCCGACTTCAATTTTTTAAGTTACGGCCAATTTAAGAAAACTTCAAAAATCTGAAAAATACCCAAGGCTATAGTCCATGGTTTTTCCAAAAATGGCTCCAAAATCAACCC